GAGGTATAGATTCTAGGACCCCATCCCAAACCTGCTGAATTCGACTTTCTGTGGTTCTGGTTCTGGCTAAAGACTGAAAATCTCCACAGTCTACCAGAAGCAGGAAGGCAGCGGTTGGCCCAGTGAGGGAGAGTTGTGAAGGAAAAGGTATCTTCCCTTGTGTGAAGGAAAGAGCTAGGATACTTGCAGACCTCCTTCCCTTTCTCCCACTTCAAAGGCTCCAGTGGGGAGAGGTGGTCAGGCCTCAGGCTCTCGGTTGGAGGGCTGTGGCAGGGCTGGCTGGAAGCAGCTCTGAGCACCAGGTTAGCCTTTGGTGGGATGCTGTGGTAGCTTAGGCTTGGAGCCCAGCTTTGTCCCTCACCTGATCTGGCCAGGTCCCAATGTAGAAGCAGCAGGTGATGACTAGAAGGAGTTAGTTAGCCAGATATCAATGGGACCTTTTGTCCCTCTGCCATCCCCCTGACAGGAAGGCAAAACATTCTGCCTGTGCATGGGCTTACACACCTGCTGATTTGACCTGTGTGTCCATAAATGTGTGCACACACATAGACATGACGTAGTTATGCCAGTAATCAGCTGTGTGAACATGAGCAAATGACCCAAGTTTCTGGTTCTCCATTTGTAAAGTGGGAAACAGTAAACATCTAGGATAATTGAGAGGATCTGGCATAATGCAAGCAATGCTCTGAACACAGTGCCTGTCACATAGCTCCCAAATATTATTGTGCATTTTAATCTATGTGTCTACACCTGGTAATGCTCTGCAAAACTGTATTTGTGTTGCCTGTGTTTATGTTTATATGGAATAATAATAGCAACTATGCATTGAGTGTCTATGTGCCAGACACTTGGTACATATGGGGATGTGTGCATACGAGAATGCTTATGTGTTCTAGTGCACGCACATGTGTGCATGCATTTTTCTATTCTGAAGAAAACTGAAAATAAAAACGACTTAAAGGATCAAATGTACCAGGCATTGTTTTCTCTTTTTCACTCCCATTTCTGGGATCACAACTATGAAATACTATAGAAATCATTAACCCCACATGCTCCCCACCACCCCTTTGAGTCTCTGGGGAAGTCACTGTGTTCTGGAGACTATCCCCCTCTAGATGACCTGCATCTGCAGGATCCATTTGGACCTGCTATCGCCCAGGCCACCCCCCCTCACTCCACTTAGCATTTATATAGCTCTGTGTAATCAGCAGGCAGTTAATCTGTACAAAGCTCTGGGTTGCCCAGGAAGGGTTACGGGCTCCTGGAGGCCAGGAGGTTAAGTATCTCAATTAAAGTCTGCCACACCAGTGCTGGGCTAATGGATGACTTTACCCATCACCTAGGGGACGTGTGACCCCAGCGTGTTCTCCTTCTAAGGCAGGGGAGGTATTCTTGCCTCTGAGCATTCCCTTGTTCTGAGCTCTGAGGAATTTTGCTAACAAGTTCTGCCATTTGGACAAACAGCATAGCCTTGCACAAAAAGTTGATCTGGGCACAGCATGCATATCTAAGACTTCAGAGGGCACACTGTAGCTGTGTTTCAGGGACAAGATCTTTCCCCAACATTCTCCCCATCTCTGTTTTGCACATGGTGAAGTGCCCAGCATGAAGCCTGAATGCTGGGCCTAGCACTCCAGGCCTGCATGACCAGCCCTGCAGCCAGTCCTGCCCGTCCATGCCCTTTGGAGGGGGCCCACTTCCTCGTGTGGCTGCCAGCCCAAGAGGAGGCTGCATACTCTATTAGTAGTAGCACTTGACATTTTGCTGCAGCCTTGGTCTAAAGTAGGCCATGCATACCCATGGTGGCTCCCCTCTGTGGCTGCTTGTGACCTGCCCTCCTCTCCTCCCACTGCCCTCCCCCACCCTCCGGATTGGCCCAGGTCTGTCCCCAAACAGTGGTGCTTAAAGTCATTCCACCTACAGGTCCAGCCCCTTCTTCCTCAGCTCTCCTTTAACCTCTACCACCAACCTTCCAGAGGTTCTCTGTTAGATACCCCTCCCCCACTCCAGATTGCTTATGGATTTGGAAAACAAAACAATCTCTGGACACTATCCTGTCTGAGCTGAGCTGACCCTGCTCCCAGGGATAACACCAAAGCTTGGTATAAAGGACTCTATTGCTATATATTGTTTCCTAACCTTTGATTAGGAGATATGCTTATATAATCAAGTTCAAACTCTAAATTTGCACCTTACTTGCTGTGTGACTTCAGGATGGCCACTTATTCTCTCTGGGCCTATAAGTGCCCTGTGCTAACAGGACCAAGAATGTACTCTCCCAGGTCTATTTCTGCCAGATGATACTGGGTTTTCTATAACTATGGTGAAGGGGAGCTTGCCCCGATTAAAGGGGATTTTTTAAAGTAAGTCACTTGGTGGCACAGCATCCTGGCTGAGACTGGCATTATCCTGGGATCACAATGGTCCTCCGCCCCCATTAAAAGAGAGGCACCTGGGGAAAGTCTGAGCTGAGTCCTCCAGTGGACTCTGATGGAGGGGACTTCTGTTTGATCCTATTGCTTTTGGGGTATGCCTCCGGTTGCCTCAGTGTCTCATACTTAAAATGGTAGAGAAACAAACTGTCCTGTCACTAGAGGTACTGAGATAAAAATATCACACAAAGTCTGCTGAGGAGCTGTGGGAGCCCCAGCCTGGGGGCCCCAGCACAGAGGCTGCAGATTGACTCCCAGTTCAGGAGAACAGAGAGCAGCAGGAACCTCTCCAGGTCATGAGTGAGCCAAGTCCTGTCCTTGGTGGCTACAGCCTGGCTCCATCCTCCTCGGGTGTGTCCAGGTCTCCTAGAAGCAGATCTGGAAGTTCCTGAGCCCAGCACTCAGGAGCACTGGGCCTGGGCCTGGAGCTGGAAGCAGAAGTGACTGCTGGGTCCTAGGGCATCAAGTTTCCAGATGCAAACTTTGCAGTAAGGAGTCGTGTGACCTGTTGAGTTCTATAACCCCGAAGACTCAGCATCAGACAGACAGGTGTTCACACTGTCCCTGTTCCCTGACCAGGTGCTAGCACCGTACACCTGTGTGGGGCCACCACAGAGGAGGAGACTGATTGCCCGCCTGGGCTGCTGAGATGCCCTTTGTGCCCTTGTCCTCCAGAGGCTCTGGCTTCACCACCACATTTGGGAGTCTCCTGATGCTCCTAAGGGCTCTTTTGGTAGTTGGCCTTGGGGATGCTGAGGACAGTTCCAACATGACCTGCTGCAATTCTAGCAGTAGATAGAACAGCAGTGGGGTCCAACCACCTTCTTGGAATCTAAGTTAGTCTCCAGGGCATGAAGGGGGTTCTTGGCCAATGGGTGTACAGGACTCACTCATGTCATTATGTTGGGTACCTTTGTATGCTTAACCCAGTCAGGCCGGGCATAGGGTCTAGGGGACAACTTGTGACATCTGCACTCCTCTGTCTAGGAGGTGAGACAACAGACTCTCTCCTCCCTCCCAAGGCCTCCTGGGTTCCTGGAGCAGCTTTTCTCCATGGTTTGAAACCACCACCTGTATCTGCTGAGTCAAATGTGGGTCACTGGCTTCCTTTCCACTGGGACCTTCTTGTTTGGCTAAGAATTACTTGAGCCAAGTGCTTGGGGATGGTCCGCTTGGCCTCAGGATTTATGAGGAAGCAGGGAGCTTAATATTCTCTTTGTTTGCAGATTTAATCTGAAAAACACAGCAGAAATCTGAAAAATAGCCTGGCTGTGAGGTGGTGGTGATAGTGGTGGTAGGGGAGGGTGCACATGAGAAGCTATGGAGACGTATCTGGGGTTTCAGAGGCTGTGAGATCAGGGACCAGTTCTGTCTCTGTAATGCTGAATGATCTTGGGCAAGGGTATGGGCTTCTCTGAGTTCTACTTCCTCCCAGACTACTTTCTGCAGGAAAGCTGTTTCCACCAAGTCATGTGTCTTAGACTTTCCTGATCCCACAGCACATCGCCAAATATAATCACTGCTTATAAGTACCCAACAGCAACTAGCAAGGTGAATGGGAACAGCCCTGATACTCACTATTGTGTGAGCTTGGACAAGTCACTCATCTTCTGCACAGGGACAGGTTACCTGAAGCAAATAGAGCCTTAGTTTCAGGGCCTGTGCTTATTTTGGGGCCCCTGCTAAGGCCTGTCTGAAAATGTAATTTTACTCTCATTATGTTTTGATTTTAAAGAAGGTCCCTAAGTTGCATAAGCCTCACCCCCACAAACCTGGATCTGTCCCTTCTGGGCATCTATCTTCTCTTTTGCACAATGAAGAAACCTGAAGGTTTCTCATAGCTTGAAAGCATTGTGAGTCAGTAAGTCTAATATTGGTCTTCTGAGTGCAGAGAAGTGAGCCCAGAAAGAATGGGAGAGGCCAGATCTGGAAAGTAGCAAGGTAAGGAGAGGAGCAAGGGGACAGGAAAGGGGACACATGGCTAGAGACACTGTGTGCTTCCTAGGAACCAGGTAGAACATTTTTGGCAGCCTGGGGGCTGCTGACCACTCACTGTTGAAGCTTGGATTTACTGTGGAGTTTTTAAACATTGAGTGGTTTAAACTGATATAAGTAGCATACTTCTGGCCAGTTCCCACATAATCAACAGTTTTCTTTGCCAATACTTGGTCTGTCCCCAAACCTTCTTTGTGGGACACAGACTCCGTGTAGGTTTGAAGGTGGTGGTGGACTCCAGTGGGGCACTCAGGACAGACACAGTGGGAAGGCAGGGCCTGGGTCTTCCAGAATGGCTCCCAGTAAAGAGGACAGACAGGAATGCTCATGGAGCCTGACTCCCTACAAATACACCTGCCAGCAATAGGACTCAATGACACTGTGGCTGGCCCAATAGCCCTTTTCTCCTTGTCTTGGACGGATGAACCTCATCACAACATGGCTTCAATCAGAGTGGCCTTTTTCATGGCTTCAGAACCCAACAGGCTGTGGAAGGCAGACTTGAAGGGGCTGAATGAGTAGGGCAGGGCGGAAGGAAGCAGGCTGGCTGGGAGCTGAGTGGATCTGTGGGTGTTAGGGGATCGCTGCTGAGCTGACTGACTGGGCTGTAGGAGGCAGGCAGTGACAAGGCCAGCAGGGACAACTCACAGAGGTGTTCTGGCACTGCACACTGGAGCTGTTGAAGCGTAAGGCCGGCACTCTCTGCTCACTGCCCTGGATGTTCAGGATACACTCGTAGCCGCGCTGCCCAGACTGTGGCTGCGGGAGGTTCTTGGCCTTCAGAGTGATGGGCTTGATCACCTCCACAGGCACTAGGATCTTGTCCACTCGAAGTAGCTGGGGACAGTCCTGGGGACAGAGGGCACAGTCAGGTTGGGCAGCTGAAAAGCCCATGAGGCAGGAACTTCTGCCAACCTTACCCTGATGTTAGCCTGCTCCACAGATGCATCCCCAGATGGCCTCCTGTACCTACCTGGCTCTGTGAGGAAGGAAAGGGGCTGAGAAATACCAGGTCCTGGTGTCACTGGCTGGAGGCCAGTCCTCAGGGAGGAGGCGCCCAGCATCTTTGGGTTCATGCTAATGCTTTCCTTGCATTCCAGATTTTCTGACATGCCAGTCCCCTTCCTGGTTACCCTTCCTCCTCAGAAGACTGACCCTGCATTCTGGGCATTTTGTTCAATTGGGGACTGATGGCCCCTTTGCCTGCCAAGTTCCAGGCATCACGAGAAGCTCCAAAAAAAGGCAAAAAAGCCAGGGCCTCAGCTCTGCCACTGCAACACAAATCTGGATCACAGCTGGAGGGCCTCACGGGCTGAGCCTGGCACTCAGGAATGTTCTGGAGTAAGCTCCAGTGACCTTTTCAATCCAGAAGTTTCTGACTGAGCTCAGGGGATGGCCTGACCTCAAGGAAATACCCCTTGGAACAGATACCCACTGAGCTGCTCCTAGATGTCAGCTAAGAGCACGCTTATCCCTGGAACCACATGGGCCCAAGGGGCCATTGGGGATGGAGGAGACAAGTCACCAAGCCCCCTTTTCCTGAGATAATCAGTTCTGCCCAGGAAGAGGTGGGGAGGTGGGCAGGTGTTCTGCTCATTTGAGAGGTGGAAGCTGGTGTGTTGCTGGGTTCTCAGAAATGGGTGGGAGGGTCAGTATTGTGGACCTGATGGCTGGGCAGGAAATGAGACTTTTGTGACACAAGCAGGTCTGGTACCCCCTCTGCTGGGCAGGTTCCTCTCTCTGTGGCACTGTCTGGGACATGCCAAGACGGCTAGCCTCTGGGCAAGTTAACTTTCAAAACCATGGAACCCACCTCCCTCCTGAGAAGGCTTTATCAAGGGTTCACTGCTGACTCTGCAGAGGCTGCTGGCCTCTCCCCCTGAGCACTGGTCATCAGCATGGGAGGTGGAAAGAAAATCATAGGAGATGCAGACCAGAGGTCCCATGCAGCTGGGTGCCTGCTGCGTCTCAAAGCAAATACGAAGCAGTAATTCCCTTTGTCACTGAGAGCTGCCCCATGACTAGACTGTCTTTAGAGGGGAAGACTTGAACCAGCTCTGGTACCCACCGAACTTCTGATAGGCTTATGGAAGCCTGAGTATACCCACCTCCCGAGACTCAACTTCCCTGTCTATCAGTCATGATTCTACGACTTAGGACAGTCATCCTTCTTCCTTCCTGGTCACTCAATAAGAAGTGAGGTTGGAAAGAGAGGCAGGAGACAAGGAAGCAGGAAAGAAAGTGTGACAGAGAAAGCTAGCGGGGAAGCTGGGAGAGAGAGACAAAGCCAGAGACAGAGAGGTGAGACTGTGAGGCACAGATGGGCCAGCGGTGGGTCCTTACTTGGGGGATACCCCAGACCCATTAAACCCATCCATTCCCCTGCCCTTCTCTAGGATGCCCAAATGATTTCTCCGAAGAACAGTTAGAAGGAAAGCAGCAGATCTAGCAATTCCACTCCTAGGGAAGTCCCCAGAAGAGCTGAAAGTAGGGACTCAACACATCCTTGTACACCAATGTTCACAGCAACATTATTCACAACAGCCAAGAGGTGGAGGCTCCCCAAGTGTCCATGGGTAAACAAACAGATAAATGAAATATGGCATATCCATACAATGGGATATTAACAAGTCTTAAATATGGATAAGCATTGAGGACATTATGCTAAATGACATAAGCCAGTCACAAGAAGGCAAATACTGTGGAATTCCACTTACATGAGGTTTCTGGAGAAGTCAAACTCTGAGACACAAAAAGGAGACTAGTGGTGTCTGAATGTGGGAAGGCAGGGATGAAGAGAATTTTAATGGGCAGCTGGGCATGGTTCCACAACAGTGTGAGGGCACTTAACGTCATGGAACCATACCCTTACAAATGGGTAAAATGGCAAATTTTATCCTATGTTTATCTTGTCACAATTAAAAGCAAGAAAAGCAAAAGACAACAACTTGGAGGCAGGCCAGCATGGGGAGCAGAGTCCAAGAACGCATACCACAGCCTTGGCCTTGACCTTGTAGGTGCCCCGTGGCTCTGAAGAGGTGGATCTGTGGGAACCCTGAAGTATCCATATGGGGAGTGTTAGTGGCTTCTTGTGCCCCCTTCTGCTGTTACCTATCTTGCTCTGGCAAGGTGGGAATGTGGGACACATAGATGAGAGGAGCAATTTTGTGGAAAGGTTGATGCTTGGACTAAAGCCGGAAGTGTGTGATGCTGGAGTATCAGGGACAGTCATAGGGCCTCAGGCCAGTTGTCCTGATTCTACCCCTCCCTCTGTCCAAGTCCTAGGTAGCTCTCCCTCTAGGGATCTGAGTCAGTGAGGCACTTGGAAAGGAAGCCAGGAAGCACTGATACCTCTCACCCGACCTCCTTCCCCAATGCTGTAGCCCAATCATGCACCGAGGGCCCCTGCAATCCAAGGGTCCTTTGACCAATCTAAGGAACGCCTCCTACTTCACAGGTTCTCACAGGTGTGCAGCACTACCTCAGGGTAGGGTGGTTGGTCATTGAGGATCTCCCAAGTCAGAGCAGTGAACACCTGCTAAGCTGGACTGGAACCCTACTTGGTTGCTGGAACACATTATCTAGGAGATGGGCAGGAGCAAAAGCCTCTCTCAGTTGTCCCCTGTAAGACTTTCACTGAGGCTTGTTAGGAGAATTCTGAGTCCTGATTAACTGTGGCCCCATAAAGGCCTAGTTTGCATATAAAAAGGTTGACAGCTCTGAGACTAAGTTCATTAATAATAATTGGAGAGGCCCAGGGCTTGGTTTGGTATATTTTCCTCTAGCTGTGCTGCTGATTGACCCTGGTACACTCTTAATTGAAATGTAAAATGGTAATTTTCCCTTAGGCAACAAGGCATGAAGGGACTGTCTCCACTACCCTGCCCCTTCCTTCCACCCCATCATTCTAGATTCTGACCTGAGATTCCAGGTGTAAAACCACCTACAGACCTGAAACTCATGGGAAAATTCAGGGAAATGTCCACACTCCTCCATGACTCTTGCCTGAGGCCCCTGTTTCAGGATCCAAGGACTCAGCCCCACTCCCCCAGACCTGGGTCCTAAAACTTTTGAGGTTCTTGAACTGGAGAGACCTTGGCTGGGGAATCACAGAGCTGTGAGAGCAAGTTGTCTTCCTCCTGTTACTTTCAGCATCATCAAAAGTGCTCTTATCACTGCTTCGCCTAGCTGTAAGTGAGGATTAAAATTCTTCCTCCAAAGGCACATTCTGGGGATTCCATGAACTAACATATAAAAGTATCTGGCATAGAGTGAGCAAGCATTCAACAAATGTTTGTTCTTTCTCTTTTCCCAGCTCAGACTGTAGATCTGTCCCTCCTCATCTGTTCCTCATTTCCACCTCATGTCAGAAGGATCCATCTCCCTTGTTCCTGCTTCTGTACCTTTTCCAGAATGAGCCTATCACTTCTCAGTTGACATGAAGCCTAGGAGGCTTCACATCGTATGTTGAGCCTGACTAATTTCCAACACTTCAAGTGGCCCGAACATGGGAGGGGGGTCACTGGTAAGGAGCCCTGCTCACGGTTTTCCTGGTGGAAGTCCTTTGTTCTGGGAGGTGACACTGATATCACCATCCTGAGTCACCATGACATCCACACATTTGCATGCTCCAAGTGTTTTGAGACAGGAGATTCGCTAGCTAGCTACCCATGTGGCCTTGGCCATGCTTCCCAAATCCTCTGGGTCTCTTCACACATGACATGAAGAGGTTTTTTTGGGTTAGATGACTTTTATGGTCCCTGGGATATTGTGACATAGTAATAAATATATATTTGGTCTTTGTCCCTGGTTCCTGGCAGAGAGTTTTTAAAAACCCTAGGAATGATTGGGGTGATCCAAACTTTTTTTTGTTATTCATAATAAGCCCATTTCAGCCATACCAGAGTTTATGTTATTGAGCTGCCTCTTGGAAGATGGAGGCTGGTTGCCAGAAAAACCAACTATGTGATTAGAGGATCTTCCCCATTCTCTGGGGAAGAGAGAGTAGCTGATGATTGGGTTCAATCACCAATTGCCAGAGTTAAGAACTCTCCATAAAAATCCTAAATGAAGGGGTTCCGAGAGCTTCTTAGTTGGTGAAGAGACAGAGGTGCTGGGAAGGGGTTATGCCTGGAGCAGGCATGGAAGCTCTGCATCTTCCCTCTTACTTTGGTGTAGACACTGTTTCATATAGCTGTTCATCTGTATCCTTTATTATATCTTTTATAATAAGCCCAGGGAATGTGTTTCCTTAAGTTTTGTGACCTATTATAACAAATGATCAAACCTGAAGAGGGGGCTGTGGGAAGCCCTGATATATAGCTAGGTTGGCTGTTCAAAATTACTTGTGAAATATCAGAACTGTGATATTGACTTGAAGTGGGGGCAGTCTTTGGGACTGAACTCTTTAACTTGCGGGATCTGACACTAACTCCAGTCCAGATAGATAGTGACATAATTGAACTGAATTGTAGGCTACCCAGCCTACAATGTATTCTCCAATCCTCTATATTTGTAGAGGATTGGAGAATAGCTTGTGGGAAAAATGAGCACACATATGGTCATTTTTGTGGAGTACAGAGAATAGCTTGTTTTCCTATTAGTCCCAGTTCTATTATTAATCCAATAGATGACCTAGGATACATTATTTCTATATAATCTTTCCTTAGCTCAGTTTCCCATCTCTAAAATGAAAATAAGAATATCTGCTCAGTTAGTTTGAAGTGTGGTAGTCAAAATACCAGTCAGCTGAATGAGTGCTTGAGGTAGAGTGGTAGAGAACTTCGTGCTGGAGGTAGGCCACCTGAAAGTGGCTATCTGCCTATCAGTAGGGGAAGTATTTTAATTGG